CACACACACTCTCTCTCTCTGGTTGACAGAAGGCGTTCAAAGACACCAGTCAGTATGTGGTTGGGGAGCTGTCTGCACTGGAGAGCGAGCAGAGGCACATAGACGCCCGAGCAGCTCGCGTGGAGAAGAGGCTGCGCTATCTCATGGACACAGGTACCCCAAGCCCAATTACACTGGAAAAACTGTTTTGGCAAATTGAGCGTACGCACGCACATACACACGCATGTGCACTCAGGGAGTTTGTGTGTGTGTATTTATGTGTCTCTTGCGTGTTAGAAGAGGCTGCGCTATCTATGGACACAGTACCCCAAGCCCAGATTAACTGGAAAAAACTGTTTTGCAAATGAGCGTACGACAGCACATACACCCGCATGTGCACTCAGGAGGTTTGTTGTTTTTATTCATCGTGCATTTGTGTGAGAGAGAGATCTTGAACCCCCAAACGCCCCCCTCCCTCCCCTCTCAGTTGAATGTTGCACGACGGAGCGCTGGTGTGGATATGAAAGGAAGGGATGGGGGGGGTAAGGGAGGAGGTGGAGAAGGGAGGGAAAGGGTGGGTAGGGAGGGAGAGAGAGGGGGAGTGTGTCTCGGGGATGGGAGAAGAAGGGAGACCTCTCTGGGCTGGGGTGATAAGGGAGCCCTTCATGGGGGAAACGATAACTGGGTGCGATAGCGGAGCCCCAGCCGAAGTCTCTGCTGCAGCCGTTTGCCAGCCGCGGCCCCAGCCAGCCAGCCTCCACACTATTGAACAGTGCGCTCAGCCATGCACGGCTACACACATACACCCTCCTTCCCCTAGTACATATCTGGCCTTCATTGATATGCTGTATAAGGAAAGACGGGGGTGAGTTAAAGGGAGGAGAGAGGGAGAGGCAAAGAAATGTTAAAAAAAAAAAAAAAACACGAGGCAACACAACATGAGCACTGACACAGTTCACAAATCCACAACAGACACACACAAATGCTTACACACCCGCGCATACAAAGTGCAATCTGGTTTGGCGTAGGGAGCCAGATTCGGAAGGTTTTTATTTAAGATTTGGCCGGGGGTAAAGCCTTGTTAAGACATGAGACTGTGTGCCGAGCCAAAAGAGGGGCCTTGGCTCCGTTAAGTCCCTAACTGAAATTGGAGAATAGCATCCCATTTGTGATACTAAACCATCCCATTCCTTACCCAAGAATGCTGTTGGAAAAAAAAAACATGGTCTAGGAAGTGTAAAATTTTTATGTTTGCAAATGTTCTGAAAGTGTACTTACAGTATTTGCTGTAGTAATTTAGTAGCAGCTCTCATGCTTTTTCTGATATATCAGTGCCCACCTTGGTGGGTTTAGCTTCCAAAATCTTAAAAAAGCTACACCGGAAGGATAGAAGAGGAGGTTTTAGAAATGGAAACTGGGGTGGTGGGATTTGCGCTCACCTTCCCCATCCCATTTGGGTCGTGATATCGAGACTATCTCTCCTCCGTTTGTTGTGTTCGCTTTCCTCCTTTTCGCCTCCCTCCCTGCCTCCGTGCCCTCTTCCCCTGTCGGAGCGCATGCCATTGTGTCAATCTGAAGGGCTGTTTTTCCTTCTTCTTCTTCACCCACTGATAAACCAGCCGCTAGCCAGCAAGACGCCAGGTTATTTACTTCCAAACACCTTCAGCCATAAAGATTTCTCTTTATATAGTTATATAAATATATATATATACCTGCGGTCCCCTCCTGAAAAATATGATTCACTATAAAAGGAAGAGGGTGACAACAGGGAAGGCGAGGACAAAATAATAAAAGGATATCATGAAGAGAAATTCACCTTGGTTGCTTTTCACCCCCTTATAACATCAGTGGGGAATGAAATCGAGAAAATGTGGTTTCCACACATCAACACACTGACTACTGTGTGATACAGTACAATATATACGTGTGATACGGTTATATATCATAAAATATTTTGTGCCATGTTGAATCAGTGGTACTTACAGTTAGCCTATAAGGTCCTAACATGTTTATGCTGGGAAGGTCCAGCTTAACCGTGAGGCACCAGACTTAGACTTAGGACTCCATTACAAAATAGAAACATGCTCCCACACATTGGTACAGATTCTACACTGGCATTGCGTTGCAGCAAGGGGATAAAAGTTGCCATATGATGTTGACCACCTTTCTCACTTCCTGAAAGTGCATTTCAGTTTCCATATCTCATTTTGCAGCACTTATCCCAGAGACTCATCCAATAGGTTATGGATTGTGCCTTTAGGCCAAGGTCTGGAGGCATCAGAGCGAGATGCGCCAGTGACAGGTGGTAACTAAAGTAACCTTTATCACCTCAGCAACCGAGGTCACCTTTCTATAGGCTGTCATAGATGATAGATATTTTTCTCTGGACTCAGAATGTCTGATTGAAGCTGTGGCTGATTGGCTGTAAGCAAAACATCCAGTATTGATCCATCACATCTGACTGGTGCCTGTACTTTACTAGGGGACATAGTGAGAAGCAGCTACCAGAAAATGTTGATAATTTTTGAAGAACAGCCAATGTCCATAGGTCCTTTCCCTCATCTTATTAAATGTCCAAGGGTCTGTTTAAACACACAATGTTACTTTCTTGTGAGTCCCTATTATTATGATAAATTGGCTGTTAATCAGCCAAATGACAGTTCAGCAGAGCCAATCACCAAATTTACTAATTGTGAAATCCACTACCACTTTTTATCGACTGCCTCCACCATTCTTGTGTCTTTGTTAAGACTAAAAGACCAACATTTTCATCAAACTAATGCACCAAAACTACATTACTTACTGTCACATGAGACAGGTGTATTTCTGCTCAACTTCTAGGTTTTGACATCCTTGTGATGTTTTGTCTAGGGAACGTTTACTAAGCAAGTAGGTTTCTTCTTAATGAAACACTGTTTTACACATAAGCAAAAAGAACTACCTCTCACTCGATTTACCTTCAGCTATAATTTTAGTTTTCCTGATCCAGACTAAAGCATGTGTTTATGAAATGCCAAACATCTACAGACTTGAGACAGCAGTTGAGCTTTTGAGGTCAGGCTGGGGTTAGGCAATATTGGACATTTTGAAATTTCAAATACCACCGTACACCTTGTTCAGTAAAACACACTTAATTCTAACAGAAACAAAATAAAACTCACCAAAACTGTCTTGGTTAGTCTTTCCACTGTTCCAACAAACACCAACTCTGGTTTCTGACCGAGTTAAATGATACTTCTCCTGTCCGTGCCGTGTCTTTGTCATGCCCGGAGTCCCGGTCGGAGCCACTGTAAAGTACCTCAGTGCTGTATACCTTGTCCTCAAACTGGTCCAAGTAAACCCTTAATTCAATAAGTTAAATATGAAAATATGCTGGCTCTACATCTGTTTTTCCTCACTTATTAACAAGAGTCTGTCGCTGAGCAGCGGCTCTCGTGCAAAATAAAATGAGAAACGTTGCCAAAAAAAAAAGGTCCAAGCCAATAACCAATATTTTGTGCAATCACCCAACCCTGGAGCAGGCCTTTCTTAAGAAAAGCTTTGACAGAAATAAAATTGACACCACTTTCCACTATTAAGCTGGAGTTCAGATGTGATCTCAACAAAAGAATAGATAATGAGAAACTCAGTTAAAAAATTGAGACTTAAGAGGAGCTCGGGTTAGCACTAAGAAGTAGAGAAAATGGAAAATGGTGAAGAGAGGAAGTCATAGCCACTATTCATATGTTGAGAGATTTACAGATCTCTTCTTGAAACAAACTTCCTACTTCATTGACTATTCTCATATTAACAGTTATACATTTAGCCATCTGTTTAATAATGTGTATGTGTGTCTGTTATACTCAGAGCTATGTGTAGTTTGTTCATAGACACAGAGCAGCCTTTCTAAGCAGGGTGGATGTCATAGCAGTGCATATGATCATATGATTCAGACCTCTTGAGGTAAGTTTGGGTGAGCTCAGTGTGCAGTGGTGCTGTGGTAGCGCAGAGCGCTGCAGGACTGATGGTCAGATGTGAACAGACAGACCGACTGACCCATGACTGATTGTTCATCTCTCTGCTCCAGCAGCAGAAAGCCTGGGAAGATCCACTGTGCTCTGCTGGTCCTCAATATTCCCTTTGATATCACATGCTTTTGCTTTGTCATTCCCTCATTCTTTTTTGCCCCTGTTCTCTAAGTAAAGAGTTTTGTCGTTCTGCGTATATATACGTGTATAATGTTTGCCACAAGAAATGAAGTCTTTAATAATCTTAATTTTTTCATTCTACCTCTTTCAGTGCACTTTTTATTTTTTCCATATCAGTATTCTTTCTTCTTTTTATCATTCTTCGCCTTTTTCTCTCACTCTTTCTGTCTCAACCCGCTGCATCACTTCTTATTTGCTTCGTTCCTTTTTATCCCTGTGAATCTTTATTTCTGTCTCTCACCCCTGCCCTCCCTCCTTTTCCACACATCTCCTCTCCTCCCCCCTCTCTCCCCTGGTTTGGGCACAATGCAGCTTTCTGCAGCATTTTCTATTACGCCACGGCCCTCCCCAGATGAATCCCAAGTAATTGGGGTGGTTAATTTATTTACTCAGAGGCAGTTCACAGCACATTAAATAATAGAGATAATTGAACAAGAATTGTCAAGTGTCTTCTGATATCAGACACATTACAGGAGGGAGTGTGCATAAAACTCCATTTCTATGCCCCCATTGTTTATGGTAATTAAGTACACAGATTTATTCCTTGGTTGCCTTCCAAGCTTATGGCAAGCGCCATTGTTGTCTTCTATTAATATGTAATCAGTAAATAGTTTAATTTTCTAATCTGCGGTTGGAGAATTCACTTTCTAACAACTCTTAATTACTGCTGGGCTCTAATGAGTCTCGCCATGCCGACGCAGCCAGCCAATCAGAAGCCAAGCACAGGCCGGGGGGGAATTTGAATTCCTGCGGCGCCCCCCCTCGACTAATGAACTTGTTATTCTTGCACCACTGGGAGCACTGTCCTTCACACATGCAACATTAGGAGAACGTTCACCTCCTGCAACACACCAAATATTTATAGGAGTTTATTGATTTAAATGAGAAGAATATTAGTAAATTTCAACAGAAGCTGTCTGTTCATTATACATTGATTTTGATTATATTGTAATAATTAATGTTATTACATGGTTGTCTTTAAGGTAT